TTAAAAATAAGCGAATAGAAAATGTGAATATTTTAGAAGGGCTATGAGTAATATTCGAAACAGTTTTCGCACCGATATCTCGATGGTTCCAGGAGCTTGAACGCAACGTTCTTTGAAGTCATAAATACGCTGAATAGGCGAGCTGCGCAGTTATGTGAATAGGACATAGTGATACGCAGATTGGATATGGTCTTAAAAAGTCGCCCGCAAATCGAATCGTATATTATCAAAATTATATCAACATCTCGAGAACGTCCTTATTTTCACTTTAATAAGTTAGACAGGAGCGTTCAATATTTTATTTCTTGGTTTAGAAATAGAAATATACACTGCAGTATCTTGCGGTGTAATATTAATCATTCCGATTATAACATATACATTTATCACATTCTGTCTGACGTATTTTACGTGATAGATAATCCGAATATAATCGAATGCAGTGCGATTGTAATTTTCTTTCAGAAATCACACGGAATAAAATCGCTGCGTGATTATTCTCCACAAAATTTGCGAATTACAAAACCGATATGGATTATCGATAAAATGTCGTTAGATTGCCGCTTTTGTTGTGCGACGGTCCGCATTTGCGACGATCGTAGTTGAACGTCGATGTTTTCTTCCTTATTTGCGTTTTCTGAGTCACGCGTGTCTGGCTGGCGGTTATCTATTCACGCGATCCGCCGACGCGCACTTGCGTTGTATGTGTGTTGACAGATATCTATACGAACGTAACGCCGAACGAGAAATGCCCATCGTTTTTTTTTATCTATGTGCTACATCGATAATTTCAAAAAAATAACAAATAAGGTTGTTAAAAAAAAATATTCGTCAAATTTGACTACCGCATATTTACGGCAAAAATTTTTATTAATTAGTAATTTTTTTAATTTATTTGTATTACGTGTGATATATGAGATGCCTTGAAGTTTGCGATAAAAGTAAATATGTATTATTATGTTTAGAGTTGATGTTTTCAACACGCGTAATTGGAATTGAATCAAGCTAAATATAAATCAATATATAAATAAATAAAAATTCAATACTAGTATAAAAAAAACACAATGAATAATAGTAATAAATAAAATTAATTGAATTAATAAACTTCAGAAATTGGTAGGACTGGAACTAATTTATGCGAAAGAGAAAAAAAAACGGTTTTTTAATAATATTTCGAGTAAATATGTATAAAACAAGGTGTTACTTAATTTGACTCTGTTTTGACAATTCTCATGGAAATTGATGAAATAAAACAAGTTTGAGGAGATTTTGCACGCGTGTAAAATGCGCGATTAAACTTTGCATTCAGCAAATTTCCGTCTCGGTTTCGCGAATATATTGATTAACTATGGCGGTGCGATTTCTGCGGATGCCAATCAGGTGGCCGGGCTCGTTCATCTCGCGAGGGGTATATATGTCGATAACAGAATATCGTTGAATAATCCGCTTAACAATTTCACTACGCCTGTCTTTTAGATATGTTCGCTCGTGCCGGGAAACGTGTTGAAGGGTCATCATTGATTAAATCGCAATCACCCCGCGTCTCTAAACATGACATGAGAACCAATGAAAATCTTTCTTTCCAATCTCGACTTTTAATTTGTCTGTTTTAAATTGCGATATAAATATCAATAACGATAAAACTAGTAAACGTATGACAACAATAATTTCTATAGTGATAGTGGTAACAAGAAAGATATAGCTTGATAAAAGATGAAGAGGACGAATATATGTTTGTATAATCCTCTTCTGCATGATATTAAGATTTAATGTCTTATATTGATATTGGCAAGTGAACAAGTTTTTAGTTACCAACATACGTAAAAGTACATATTCAGAGTGTACTTTATAATTCGATTGAATCGATTGTTGTCAAAATGTGTTAAACGCATAAAGATTTTTATTTATTTGATAGAATAAGAAAAATATAGCGCGAAAAATTGCATTTCACTTCTTTTTATTTTGCAATTTTCATATCAATACTTAATTGCTGTCATTTGTTGTTTAAATTTTTTTTTATAAATTATGTAATTATTTTAATTTTCTCTGAACTTGAAAGTGATAAAAATAATAGTCGATCTCTTATATTGCAATTGTCAGTTGTATATTATTAATAATATTAATGTTAATGAATTTCTATTTAAAAATGTTATCGTTTAAGAATAGATGTTTGTCAGCTCTTAAAATTCTCAAGTTTTTTTGGCATATCAAGCCAATAATTCTCGCCAATATTCTAATCGTATTGGTCGATAAAACAAAATCGAAAAAATATTAAAAATCCGTTGCCAGGAATGCTCCTGTTTGTGTTAATCGATCGGTACCGAGCTAAGCTGCGCCATCTCACCACAAAGATATGACATAATCATTTCAGCTACATTTTTTTCTTTGCACGTGGCGCGATTTGAAAGACCGGTCCCCACCTTATATCCAAGATATTCGTTCTCTCGGGCGGACGACCTTGAGACCAGCTGACAAACCGAGGAAGACGAACGAGGAGGAGGAGCAGGAGGATTGCGCAACGCTTCGAAATATCGTGATTTTGAGACGAGCTATCGAGATATCTTCGTGTAGTCTCTTTGTCTTCGATAGAAAACTTCATATCAAATTTATTGCTTGTCGAACTAATAGAGTATCGGTTTTGCTTTTTAGAATTTGTCCATTAACATAATTGCTATTAATGTAACTTGAAGATATATTGTTTGAAAATATTTTGTCAAACAAGCCGAAAAAACTTTGATCTATCGTTACAAAAATAATACTATAATACTAATATGTTGATACCAGGATCATTTTCAGTTACACATTAAAATTTGGTTTTTCTTTAACAAAGCTTTATAAGATCACTTAACGAAATTATTTTTATTTACCAGAATTTTTTTAATTATTAACTTGATTTAAAAATTAGTATAAGTATTTAAGATTATTTTGTCATGTTTATCAAGTACCCATATTAATTTCTAATTTGTTCTTTTGAGTTTTATTACATTTGCCTAGTAGCGTTTGCTTTGGCACCTCCTATACTCTTTCCCATCTTTTATCAATATTTTTTTTTATTATCCATTGATCAAGCAACGATTAACATCTTATCAACGATCGTCACACGGAAAATATATTTCCGCGATGTGTGACATAAATGGAAAATTCAGTTTCTCTTGAGAAAGTAGCCTCTCAAAGAATGATGCTTTACGATTCGACAGACACATAACTCTTTTTGATCGTCAAAAAGGTACGTGTGACTGGGTTACAAGGCCGATCGTAAATTTTCATCATTTCGTGAGAAAGCGGTAGTTTTGTCGATTCGTAAAGTTGCAATTATTCTTGTTTCTAATCGATATTAATTCGCTATTTTATTTGAAGGTTTGGAAACATTTTTATTACATCGATCGGTGCGATAATTATCATATCAATGAATTGTTTTACAATTTGAGTTTGGATATTATAAGACTTGTGAAGAAAAAAAAATGCAAAAAAGACATCTTAATTGTTGATTTAACGCAGAGATTTAATGAGAGATTTATAAAAAATTATAATCGATATTCTAAAGACAAAAGGTACTTAGTTAAAATTAAATATAATGAAATCGTAGATGTTTATCAAAATCTTTGAAAGAAATGAAACTACACTTTGGTGTAATCACACGTTAATCACACGTTGATGCACATCGAAGTGATTCTTATGATTATACTATATATGGTAAAATCGAAATGGAGATAGATAAAAGAGTGTTCGCACGATTTCCAAAATAATAGTAAAGAAACGACTAATTTTATTCATCGTACAAGCGAGATGGGAGACAAAGAGCTAGGCCATCGCCGTAGTTTGAAAGCGACGGTAGAAAAGACGGAGTGATAGCCGGCAGCAAGAGGAGAGGACGGGAAGGCGGGAGGGACCAGATGGAGAAGGGGAGTATTGAGAGAGGGTGGAAAGAGCGCCATGTTCGCCCTCTGACGCTCTTTTGAAGGTCAAGGTTTTCCGCCCCTCGTTGACTGAGAGGAGGAGCGAAGGGGGATGAAGAGA